TATAATATAATAAATAAATACAATTAAAACAAACAATCAATTTAAAGGTCGTTTTACTAAACGAGCTGCATCCTCAGCAATTAAAGCTCAATAACACAATAGAAAGAGAAGAAAACGCGCTTTCTTTCCAGCTGAATGAGTGACTCTGCATGCAATTATCGCGTCTGCCCAGCACGGACGAGCACTTCCGAAGCGGACGTGCAGGACCGAATTAAAATATATTCATGTGCGGCGCGAAGGTTCAGAATCGACTTTTCTCAAGAACATATGCACGCAATTAAAACAATAGCGGGAGGAGTGAAACCGGCAGGCAACAAAGGAGCATTGAAGAATTTCCACGCCGCGCGAACACGAGCCGTGAAATTGGCCATCGCGAATCGTCTAATTACTAACCTTGCACTGCAAACAAATTGCTCTCGCCACCATTTGGCCAGGCGAGAATATTCTTTCTTGCTTGTACGTATCAGGATAAAAATCCTTTGCCTTTTTTAAAAGTACCAGAATTCAGTGGAGAAAAGCTTTGTGAATAATTTTTAGACTGGTGGAAATTATTTCTCATCTTTTGATTCGCTCAAATATTCATTCTGACAGTCAATTTTTTGTGAATTGTGTCGTTCTGATGCAAAATTTTTGTGTTTTTACATGGCAAATAATATTTTGAAACTTTTATTTAAGCACGCATTTTAATTCTCTATTTTTGCATTTCCTTCATTTGGTTCATGCTGAATTAGAAAAGAAGGATTAGCTCAAATATTTTTTGCTTGAAAAACAAGATTTTCATCTACAATTTGAACATAAACAAGCCCATTAAAAAGACTCAATTGCAGTCTTCCTTTTTTTTAAATTTCCTGATGGCTATTAAAAGAAATTTATTTTGTAAATTTAAAAATGAGTCTTGAGATCAAATGTGGCCAAAACAAAACGGAGCATGTCTTTGCCATTTGTAATTAGGAGATCATGCGCGGTGATTTGTTATTAATTATGTCCGAAGCGTAGGTGAAAGTTCCAGTTCGGCCGCGATTTTCTGAAGAGTCATGAGTGGCCAATTTTTTCGTGCCGCATTCCTTCGTTAGGGAGAATGTTAATGTTATCATTATTCAAAATGAAACATACAAGCGTCGGCAACAAAATATGAGCAGAATTCTTGTCTGAAAATGGCATCAAACGTACATTAATATAAAAAATAATGAAATAGAAATCCAAAATATGCAATAGAATGGTTTTTATTTTTATTGATTTAATGATTCAACTGAACAATGAAAAAACGTTCCAAACTAAAGTTTAAATAATATTTAAGAGAACTAAAATTGCAAAAATAAATAAAACACTACTTTAATTTTCAAGCTTGACTGCAGGGGAGTTCAATTTTACATTGTCAATAGAAAATTTATTTATTGAACAGGTCATATTATTAACTTTTGGAATTATTGAGAATTAAGCTTCAAATGTCAAAAAATTCTCCTAAATCAAAAGTTACGAGGAAATCAATTTTGAATAAATAAATTTCCACTTCACAATTGTTTAATTCTGGAGGATGCACAGTTTTTAAAACATTCAAACTAACTCAAAAAATTTGGCATTTATTAAAAATCATAATAATTCATGCACATCCCTTCACTTTCAACAACTACAGCAGTTATTGTTTTCGTGTTATTATAGAATTTTTCACGGAGCAAACAACAATTTGTCTATTTTTTTTTTGTGTGAATAGAAAATTCGAGCGTTTTCCCACCAGCCGAAATCTCACTGCGCGCGTGGCACGCAAATTTTATCTCGCTGGCCGATCTCTCGTCGCGAGCATTAAAGTTCCCATCTGTGTTTTCTCGTCGAAACAATAAACAATCATCTCTCAGCACATCCACAGGTAGCGGAAGAGTTTTTGCATTCAAATTTTTTGTGAAGCTTTACAACTCTAGCAAGTTCAAAGATCAATTAATAATAGATAAAAATATTATGTGAAGCAAAAGTTTTCAAAGGAAATTTATGTAAAAGTTAAATGGATTCATCTCCAACTAGATGCAAAAAAAGAAACAATTAATTTCAGGTTGAAAAAGTTCATACGTATTTTTTTGTTGAACTGCCTTTAGCCGCTAACTTATTTGCAAAAAGATATTTAATTTTTCATTATAATAACTAACAGCTTTTTTTCTGATGGAGAGAACTTGATTGAAATTAAAAATTAAAACTCAACATTTTGACCGAGGAAGATAAAAAATTATTTTAATTCAAGAAAGGGGCACTTTACGCTTCATGGTGATTTTATTTTTGTATAGCAAACCGTTGTGTGCAAAATATTATAATGTCATTTGAATTTTCAACATAAAAAGGTAAAGCACGCTTGAAATTTTACTCTTTGCACGTTGGAGAGAACAATCGCCCGATCTTAAATCTTTAAAGACAGGATCGTCTGCTTGACCTTTTCAACTAAAAAGGATCCGATCGTTAAAATCGCGCTGCCTTCGGCACGAATTTGACGTTTGAATTTAAAAAAAATCCAAATAAATCCACGTCAAATCATAACGAGCCGAATTTTAAACACTCCTGACAGTTTTTTTTCCCAATCGACTTTTCTCTTCCTACTCAATAATAATGTGTGATTTACTCCAGAGTTCATCAAGGCAAACAAAATAAATCTTAGCAAACAATAGCAAGTGAAGCTGCTTCGAATGCTCTACATTTCCGGTCGGCCTTCCGCGTACATATTCCAAAATAATAATATTCCGAAATCGCTAATAGATTTCCTCGACCTTTCGATTTGCATGCGGCGCGGCGGGTGACGCAACAATTGGAGCGAGCGTCTCTGGTTGCGCAATCAATTGTTGCGCCGCGCGCGTTTAAACAGTCCATTACGGAAGAAATTGTGTGTGTGAATCCACGCAAAGCTCTATTTCCGTCGCTTTGCAAAACACACACACACACAGACATACATAAGGATGCGGACGGATGCTGATTGTAGTGCGCTCGCATTTTCCCACACGCCTGCACCATTGGCCCGAAAAATTAGAAATTATGCTGATGCATTCCGAGTTACGGCACAGCATGCGGACGCATTGTTTGCGCCTCCGCTGAAATAATTTATGCACTTTGACGTAGAAAGTTGCCGATTCCTTCTTTTTCGTGTCAAAAAATTACAACAATAAAAAACTGAACATTTTTACATTAGCCTAGGTTTTGCAGTGGTGCAAATTTATTTTGTTTTATAAATTATTTTAATCTTCGTAACTTAGATTCAACTAAATTGTATGCAAATATTTTTAGATTATTTGCGTGGAAGTTAATGAGATCAAATTTTTGTTAAAATAAATCAAAAGATTTCAATAAAAATGGAATATGTAAAATAAAATATTATCACAAAGAATTTTAATTTAAAAAATTTCAATATCAAGAGTTACAGGATAGGAAAGTGACCTTTTTAATAATTTTTTTCAGTAAGAACTAACATTAGTACTAATAATGCCTAAATAAGCGCCATTTATAAGTTAAAATTCAGATTTTAGAATTTAATTGAAGTTTGCGAATATTTTCAAGGTTTTGAGGGGGGAAATAATGAATTTCTCTGACTGGTGGTCCACTTGTCTCACTTAATTAAATAAGATCTGCTTCTTTCACTATCTGCAAAATAATCGGCAGCATCTTTCTATCTTCGTAAAGAAGAAAAAATAAAGACGTTCTCCGGGCGTAAAATGAAATTCGCCACACGAGCGGTGCGCGGCGAATCGCGAATCACGCCCATAAAATTCAATCTGTGCGCGGCAGGTCGCGCTCGGAATTTGCCGATCGTTACACTTTTCTTCTATTACATTCGATCTCGAGCTGTGAAATCGTGCTTAATGATCGAGCGTTGCATAAGAGTGTGGAAGTGCAAGGTTGTTTTGGAAAGGATGCGCTGCTTTTTCATTTTATTATCATGCGTCTCTCGTTAAATGATTTGGACCGACTTCTGAAGGCGACCTTAAATGATTTAACGACGTGCGATTTACTTTTTTCCACGCCGCTCTCCAGCAAATTCCAATCACGAGGCGACAAACGGTGAATTCACCTTCAACTTTTCATATTATCACGTGAGCAAAAAAATTGAAAGAATTTTTAAACTAGAAGCGTAAAAGAAAATTTTTTACAAAAACAAAATCTATGTACTTAAAAAAAAGATCAGTTTTTGTCATTATTAGTGCCAATTTTTTTATGTTTGCTTAACTATTTTGCCCAATTGTTTGTTGTCAATTCTGGATCAAGAACTTTCAGGTTTGCATACATGAAAGTAGCTGATTATTTAGAAGAATTTTTAAGCTCAATTTGAAACCGAAAATAATATAATTTTAAAGATGTTTGAAAATTTAGTGAGAAAGATACTTAAATATCTCTAAATAAAACATCATTGTGAATATTAAAGTTAAACGTCTTGAGGAAGAAAGAGCAATGATGATATTAATTAATTTTAATTTGCGCATCTCACGTAAGTAAGATTTTTCATCTAATGTGTGTCATATAATATTTCAGAAACGGTGAACAACAAAACTTAAAACAGTTGTTAGTACTTTTCACAACACTTCATTTAATTACCTTTAGTTAATTGGAGATAAAAGTACGTAACTTTTTACAGCTCCGACGGTTCCAAGTTTTTTTTTATATTGTTTCTTACATTTTTTGGTAGTTGACACGAACATTTCGCTGCGTTTTGAGACACTAAAAAGTCTTTATCACGTCAAATCTTTTAGAATGCACGCAATGCTTGTTTTTTAAATGGACTAAATGGTCCTTTGCGTCAGTACAAGAAACTTTCCTTTGAATGCATTGACGGAATATGCTGCCAGTAGCAATTTGTTAGAGTGTAACGATAAAAGTTTTGGTGGGCAAGTTCAAGAGTCAAACGAATTATGGTGAAGCGAAGTAAGAAAAAAAAAACGCAAACGTGCAGATCACGTTTGAGCTTGACAAACAATGGGACTTTGACGCTAGCGTTTTGATGTGTGTATTAAAAATCATGATGACACATTACTAACCTGGAAATATCCAAACGAGATGATTCATGGTCGGGAACTTTCTTGAAATCACAGCCGCAGAACAGGAAAGGGAGTGCCTGGGAAAATAATCATTTGAAAAATTAGAAGAAGAAAAATCAGAAATTATCTTTACTTAATTGGAAAAAAATTAACTGTAGATATTATTATGTTTGCTCATTTGTTATCTGTTTTTAGATAAATAAAAATTACAGATTCGTATAACGAAATTAGTATAATTTTCAAAAAAATCACCAAAAGAATTCTGGTGTTGCTGAAAGTGAGACGAAGAGAAAAGTATGCCAAAAAGTAAAAGATATGAATGGGTTATTCTCTCAAAAAATTATATTCGAGTGACCTGCATCGTGCCATATTTTTACAATTTCAGCCCGTCTCTCTCGATTTGGATGAAACGAAACAACTCCGTCTCCACTCGTAAATAACAGTAATAATTCAAAACGTTTGCCCCAATAAAAACAACTTCGATCACGACCGACCCCTCACAGGACAATTTAAGCGTATGATTGGCATGAGAAAAGGAGGAGAAATTATTCATGTGAGAAACCGCCCGACAGCCTTGGGTTCATTTAATTCGCATCTTCAGGTCATCAATGCGCCTGACCCATGTAATTTTTACACATGTGTTTGCTATGAAAATTATGATGGATGAATTGAAAAATGGTTTGCTTATGAAAACAAGGCATTTTTAAGGCAATACATTCAGTTAAATGAAGCTATCTACATATCGTCGGCTACGCGGCCAAATGGCCGATCTGGTAATTACCCCTGTGGGGAAAATGGCAAGTAGCCACTTTCCCCGTTGGGGAAAATGGCAGATGAGCCTTTTTTTAAATTTTACAGGAGAAGCAAAAAACTGATTATCTGCTCCAATTTTCAATGTTCAGATTTCAAAATTTGAACCAAAGTTCAGCATGTTATTGCAGATAATTTGGTAGACTTAATTTTCTTTTAAACCTTAATATACACCTGTTGTAAGAAATTTAAAGGGAAGTAATTCCACACTGAAAGAGTAAAACGTACAATACAATCGAAATTAAACCACTTATGCGATTATTTCCTGCTTTTCTTTGTTCAATTTAACTTGATAATAATATTTTATAATATAATTTTATTTAAATTCATCGTTTTTTATAATATTTTTATTATTTTATTTTATTTAAATTAATTTAAATTTTATTCTTTTATTTGCACAATAGTAAACAATTTTGGCATTAAAAGCATTTTTTTCTTATTTCACATGACTCGGTGTCACTTCTAATTATAATCTCATGAATAGTTTTACTGATACTTTCTATAAATTGCAATAATTAGTAAAGTAAAATCTAGCTCGGATACAACATAAAGCTTCTGGTTGTATGTCAAATATTTTAATAAAAAAATCTATACTTTACTATTTATTTAATTTTCAAATTATATCTATTTTAAAGAATTATTTGCATTATCATGCAAAATGCATGAAAAAGCTATCACTTTCGAATACAATATTGACGAAACTTCAGCTTATTCTGATATTTTACTTCTTACTTAATGTTAGGTATTTTATTAAATTTATTAAAATTTTATTTTTATATTTTTTATATTTTCATTATTTTTAACATTTATGGCATTTAAAACAATTTTGGCATTATTCAGCAAGCGGGAATGCTGCCTGCTTGCTGTGGAACTTGGTAAGGGGGCGTGGCACTGCCTTACTTTTGCTCCCCGAACTCGCGATAGTGAGACATCTACCGAGAAAGTTGATACTTTTATGGTTGTTTCTGATGCAGATTTTTACACTGAATGCATTGGAACAATAAAAAAAATTTGTCCGGAAATGCTCATCTGCCATTTTCCCCAACGGGGAAAGTGGCCACTAGCCATTTTCCCCACAGGGGTATTTACCAGATCGGCCATTTGGCCGCGTAGCCGACGATATTAATTTTATTGAATTATCTGCTTAGTTAGTGCCCATAATTACTCGTATTTAATTTATTAATTCATTTTATGATTGATAAATAAATCCATGATTCTGATAATGAGTGAATTCAAATAATTACATATTCTTGTAAAGAGCTAGAAGAACTAAGACATTATTTACATACATTAACATTTTTTTTCAACAATCATGAAGCAATTTTATATACCTTTCGGGAATTTATAATACACCTACAATTATAACAAAAATTCCACTCAATGACATTAAATATGTGATCATTTTGGGCTCTATAATAAGTAAATAAATAATAAATTAAAATAGAATTATAAAATTAAAGTAAAGCGACAATAATATTTTATATCATTAAAGGGAGATTAAACTAACTGTTATTAGCAAACAAATTAAATAGGAACTCTTCAGTAAAGGCAACTTTTTATGTTCCAATTTTCATTAAAATCCAGTTGGAGTTAAAGAACTAAAATAAAATTACAGAAAATAAATATATTTTAATTAGTATTAAAAAAAAATAATAATAATGAAACGGACTTAAAAAAAAAGCGATTTGAAAAAGTCATTTGCATGAAAGTTTCTGATTAGATTTTAAAATTTTATGATGTTGTCAAACAGCAAGAACTAAGGGGTGGAAATAAAAATTAATTAAAAATGAGTCTCTAAAAAGAAAAAAATCTGAGATTCCTTCATAAATGAGTAAAAAAAAATATTTTCATCTAAAAATGTTTTGAATAAATTCAAAGAGATTTACTGTCAGAATTAAAAATAGCAACGATAACAACTCAATCGTTCTTATTGCTGCGAATAACTCTTCATAAATTTTCGCAAAAGTATGAGATGATGAATGATCAGGAGACCAGCGGTAGCCGTGGGACTTGATTCACTGTAGTGATGTCGGGGGGCATATCTCACGCGCGGCAGCTTGGAGAAAAGAAGAAATGCTTTCTCCGGAGCACTTTTCCTTTCACCCGAGGGCCACAGATAACCTCTGCCCGGGAAATTGGCCCGGCAATTAAAATCCTCTTCATTTGATCAAGAGTCAATAATCGCGTTTATAGACTCGTCTATCTGTATGCATTGGTTTTTTAACTTCTTGATCAGTCGCTCGTGCGATTCGAAAGAAAGCAGCGATATGATTTCTCATAAGACTGCCGACTAATCAGTGGAAATGAACTTGATCGCGATGATAAATTGGCCGCATTCTGAAAGCTTCCTACCGCTTAATGGTCACGTATTGTTCCGCGCAGGTTCCTTAATTTTGTTTATATTTTCTTTCGGGAATGATCTTTGCTCTGTCTGCTTTTTAAATTGTATCTAGTTGATTAAAAAGACAGATTTTTAAGTAAGCAAGCAGCTTTTAAATTGCGATTTGTTCAAATTTTTGCCATAGTAAATTCAGAATTTACTGTAAATTACGAATTTGAAACCAAAAAAATCGTCAACCTAATTTATACGTCTGTTAGATGAATTACTTTTTTTAATTGAAAATAGAATTAATTACGAGCAAAAATTTGATCTTCTTGAGAATTTAATTTTTCCCTGATTCTGAATTTGTTTCTACTTATTTTTATCCTAATTTGAATTGTCACAATTGTAAGAATGATTATTTTGAGTAGGTGTTTGATATGAGACATGATTTTAATTTGTGCCTCTTCGTGATTTAATAACATACATTTAAGATAAATTTCTCACAACTTACATGTCTATAAGAAAAAGACCACCCTTCAAGCCAGGTAATTTGCAATTATCACCCGAATTCCTAGAAAAGAAGCACCTTCCTTAACACATGCACGTGCGTTTTAAACTCCACTATCATTATTTTGATTATTTCGCAGTTCAAAGGCGAGAATCGGCAGCATAATTAAATTTTTTAAACTAAATATCGTTGGACGCGGAAAAATAGTAGTTTTTACAAGCCAGTTGCGTGGGTGCCATTTCGCAATATTGTTTATAGTTACATATAATTGTTTACGAATTAAAAATAGAAAGCCGGCGATTATTTTCGTTCTTCATAATGAGCATCTCTCGGCGCCCTTTTGCTCTTTCGATTCCGCGAAGTTCCTCGCGTTTTAGCGCCGGATTGATTAGTGATTATCTCGAGTTTCCTCAAGAGTTTGTTGAAAATAGGGAAATGCCAAGTACGTAATTATCCTGTAAAAAGCAGGGAAAATATTTTACGAGTTTTAGCAAAAGTCGAAATCAGAGAGATGATTTTTACGATTATTACTTTTATATCACTAACGACTTTTTAATCGACAGAAATTAACTTTTTACAACATCGCGTGAGCTTTTGCCAAACAAATTTATCGTCCGTTCTGCAGCTTGCGGAGAAATTGTGCTCTTGAACAGGTTCCAAATAGGGCAGATGCAAATTACCACCCTCGCCCAAATTTGGTGTGTCTTATTTGAGTCTCATCTGCCGTTTAAAGTATTGTTTGTTTTTACTTTTATCGGTCAAATTGCCGGTCGCAAACAAGCGCACCAAAAGATACCATCTGCACGTTGCTTCGCATCGATGTTGATAAATCGAAGAAAGTAATAATATTCCTCCTTATCTCACGCGGTTAATGTAATTTCGTCTCTAGTCCTTTTACAGCCTCTTTGTCTTAAAGAGTATCTCTTTAATATAGATGGAAACGCACTCTCGTTGCTTTATGGTCTTGGAAGAAAGTTATGAGTTCATTGTTCCACAGGTTTATTAGTAAAACGGCTTTTGTTGCTTCTCAAGCAATGCTCGGCCTTTTATGCAAATTTCAAACACCCTCGCAACTCAATCGTAAAAGCTGCAAAGGTTGAGGGTTAATTAATTTCTGAATGCTATGCATTCCTACTGCAATCAGAACAAAATAGCAGAGAGATTTCTCTATGAAAATATTTTTCAAAACATTCCTTCTTTGTTTTGCCCATAATGATGTATAAAATGAAACGAAAGCTGAATGCCATTTTCTGTGATTATTTTCTTGGGCGTTTGTTATTTAAAAATTGCACTGCTTAGCTAAACTCACCTAGTAGGTTCACATTTCTTTTATTTTCTTGTAATGTGTATTGAAGTTGAATGACTAGAGTGGCAATTTATTTTTTAAAATTAAGACTCAATTCTTGCTAAATTTTCTATGCATTTCATGTACAAAT